CTTTATTTTCAAGGTGGCCTGAACAGAGTGTTTTAGGGCAGCAAACCCTGGTCTCAGGCCACCTTGACTTTAGCTTGAAAACCACAGCTTTGAAGCCTCATGCGTGCCATACCAGAACTGTAGCTACTTGTAGCTACCCTGGGTCCGTATAAATAGTATGTTGCTATACCTCTTACACACCTATACAAGTTCAAAGCACGAATGAGACTTGAAGGCTGTGGATTGCTGTGCGTGTGTCGAGGTTCTCAAGCGGTTGACGGAAAGGGAACTTGAAGTACTATACCTGGTAGCTGCACTATAGCTACCCTAGGTCTCTCTACCCTGCAAGGTGCCAACTACACCTTTCCATTCAGATGATGCAAATGATGCATTTGGCATTTCTTGCATCACCACCCCTCAAAAATCACCTCCAACACAACCTCAAAAAACCTTCCCTCGGAGCACCCTCCTCCCCCAGCATGTGCTGAGTTGACGTATACCTTTCTCGGGCCACCCCCCCAGACCCCCTACTTAGTGGTTCAATTCTAGTTATCCTACTTGGGTTACTTATATTTCAAGATAAGTATACTTAAGGGTTACTTATAACAAGTGTACTTACTGCACTTATAAGTAGAACCTAAGTAGGAACTAAGTAGGTTATAAGTAGAACCTAAGTAGGTTTTGTTTTGTTTTCAATTTTGATTTTTGGAAGTTTTTGCAAGAACCAACACATGAAAACAACTTTTTTTTCGAAGAAAATGTAAGACCGAGCACCATGAGCGGGCATACCGCTATCAACTTAGTTATTTATAGTTATTTATATTGGGGGCAATGGCAATGCAAATGATTTCAGTGGGTTTTACAACAGTTCCTGGTTTGTGTGTTTTTGTTTCTTTTCTTACAGCGCGTTCAGACGAGCGTTGAGTCTCAACTAGTCAATGCAGACAGATCCACTCAGAGTAGGCACCATGATCTCTCTTTCGCCACCACCACGGCACCACGAAGTTTTCAGCCGGCTTGCAAACACACTGAGCTCCATCTCGCCAAACGCTGCCATAGGGATGCTGCGATACCTGGGTATATTGCTGTGCATCCATCCGACGCGAAACATACATCGTGAATATAACATCCTCTATAAAAGGAAACAAACCACATGAGCGGGCGAACCGCTGGAGAAAAGAAAAAGGTTTGATCCAACAGCGCTGCAACACAGAATGTATAAGAATGCAACCACAACAAAATGTTTGAACCAGCTACAGGAAATAGTTTCCTCAGCACAAAGTGAACTCCGTCTGCACAATAGAAGGCCAGAACAATGCCCCCAGCGCGAGACTTTGGCCACAATACCACGTCATCTGTGGAGAGCGTTAATGTTCCCACACGAGCGCCTGCTGACAAAATTCGTTCACTTAGCTTGGTTTAACTTGGCTGTTGAAGGTCTTCAATTATACCCGGCACAGACTTAATTGGAAAGTAAATAAAACACCTTGACAATCAAAACCGGGCACTGGCAGCCATTGGAGTGCACGGGCTCAACAATAGGCGACATTGCATCTCGCCAGCTTTCTTGATGGGCGGCAAGAGTGTCATCTCAGGGCACAAAGGAGATTCATTGATCTGTTGAACTTGTGTAGATAAAATACGTTTCACAGCCGCCCAGGCAATTCCACCACCTCCACCTGACGACTTTTGCTTGAGCCTGGGCGCAAGGAAACTCTTGTAGACCTGATGCTTCTTCTCCTGCGGTTCGCAAGAGATACATGTTTTCCACAACTCATTGCAGAGTCTGCTATATGGAACCTTGCGTGATGCTTTGGCCTCGATGAACTTGCATATGCTTGATTGAATAAGTCCTGATGCTTGCATGCTGCTGCTCGCATTTGCGACACATCTCTCACTTGCTCTTCATGCTTCAACATGGACATCTCCCTGTGACAATTCCACAAAGCAAGGAAAGATGCTGCCTCACCTGGCAACAGTTCCTGCCTGCGGAGGAAAATTTCAACGTAGTAAGCCATCAAGGACAGGAGGGACTTGGTTTGGGCAGCGTTGCCTTTGTATACATCGCCAGCCAAAAGCTTCTCATGGAAAAGCAGCTTTAAAAGCGTCGGGCTCCTAGTGGCTCCAAAACCATGACGAACCCAACCAGCTTCCAAGGCTGCTGACAACAAATTGTCTTTGTTGAACGGCGTTCCGCCTTCCATGGCTTGAAACAGCAAAGACAGCTCAACATTCACAATGCCACACGAATAGTAGCAATGCATGGGGTCATAGAGGATTCGGCTTGGAGGAAGAATGGATCGGGTGCTTTTGTCAAACCAAATGCAAGCTGGTTCCAGATTTAGGCCAACCCTTTTTTCCAGGTCTTTCAACTGGCCCTTGCCAAGGCGGTTTCCTTCCTCCACCAAGAAGTCGATTCCTTGGAACACTTCCTCGTCAGTGTTTTTGTTGAAGCAGTCTTCCTTTGCCGAAGCGATGTCAAGGAAGTAACCATCATCATCGTACTCAAGCAAATCTGTGTTCTTTTTGATGATGTTTCTGCAATGTGGGCATGGACGTAGTCCTGCACTTCCCTCCAGAGCGAAAGATGCCCTGACACTATCCAAGTCGCCATTGAAAAAAAACTTCCCCAACTTGCACCAGCGCATGCCGTCCTCAAATTTGATTGAAAACCCGTGACGGTTCTGTGCGTACATGTGTTCGACTAAAACTTTGAGTACGCCAGCCATTCCTCCAATCACAGCATCAACATCACCATGAAGGACAAAGGCCAATGGTAGCCAAACCAACTCAGAGGACAAAAGGCAGCCCAGCTCGCAGAAGCTAAGGTAGAAGAGGCTTGCCTTCATCTTGTTTATTGGTAGCAGCACATTCAGAGGCGTGCATTCATCTGAATACAGAATGGGGCTGAGCGACCACTTGCTATCCTTCAGCCCTCTCTGCAAAGCAAGCGCAAAGCTTGGACATTCTTTCACTACAAGCTGCAGCAACTTCTGGACGTTCGCCACTGGAAAAGGAATGGGTTTTTGCTTCGTTGGGTCCTTTGGGGTGAGATGCAAAGGGTCAAAGCAATCTGAAAAAGGTCCCAAATGTTCCTTCACCTCCTCCAAGAATTGTTTCGCTTTTTTCTGCTTCTTTTCAGTGTGTAGGTGGTTCCATATCTGAAAAACCGCCTTCTCAGAAGCTCCAGGGACACTGAGGCACTTCTTGAGCTTGGCATCCTCTCCATGCCCTTTTCTTTTCATGTCCAGGCGTGCTCATGACGCACTGAACTTTTCAGGGGCAATCATGCGCTCAACTGGCTTTGAGCGCGCTGGAAGCAAGCAAACATGGATTTGGAACACCTGGATTGCCATGAGCGGAAGGACCGCTAGCTGTCGCACACATCCACTGGCCAACCCCAGCAAACATTGATGTGGAACACCTTCCTTGCCATGAGCGGAAACACCGCTAGATGATGCGAGCAGGAACACCGCCCATACACATACAAGATGAACACTTGCCCTCCACAAGCGAAAGGCTAAAGCAAATCATTGCTTTGTGCGGTTTTCCACCTTTCCATCCAGGTGGCATGAAACTCCCAAATTCAAGATGCAGCGGGTCTCCAATTATTTTTGGGCGAGGACTGAGGCCTGCTTTCTGTGGCTCCTCAGCCAATCGACAAAACATTGGATGCAATCGCAAAACATATCATGTTGACTGTCATCCCACAAAGGAACCAAATCTTCCAGGCTATCTGTGTCGCTCTCACTTTGAGCCATGGTCAATCTGGGCATGATTTGCCCAGCTGAGGCTTCCTTCCTCCTTTTCGCAGTCGTGTCCACATCTATATAGAGGCGCCCCTTTTTGTTCGTTGTCCTTGCTCGCCGACAACTTCACGGGGCATCACAAGGCAGCGCAAAGAGGAAAAGTTGCAAGTATCAATCAGCCCCTGACCTCACTTGTCTGAAAATATGCGGTAACTTAGCATTAACATGAGGAGGGCTTGCAACATCATTACGCTTAACTCGTCCACTCCAAATACAACTCCATGAGCGGAGACACCGCTGAGAACATGTCTTGTTTCTCTTCCACCAAAGGTTCACCAAACCTATTCAGGGTGCTTCAAACTATACAACTCCA